TGAAACCACTGATAGCTTGGAGCTGGTCTGCCAACGCCATCACAGTATAAGCTTAGCCGTGAACCCAGAAGTATGTGAACATCAGGGTCTGATTGAGAAGTAATGATTGGCAAATCTGAAACAAAGAGGTTCTCCTTAGTTCCAGTAAGTTCTGTTAATTTTCAGCTCTTTACACCCTAACATCATTATGCATATTCTCCATACTGTTCTCTATACGTAACCTAGGTTTTAACAAGGAGAATTTGTAAAACCGTCAAGAGCTATGTTAGTTGCTGATCATTTCCTTTATTCTTGTGACTTAAACATTTGATTCAGGGGTGATATTGTAAGGCAAAATTAGAACCTTGTCACTCTTTCCAAGTAAATAATGAATAAAAAGAGTTGTAAACACTCTCTCCTAATGGACAGTGCACTGAACTCCAAGGGGCCATCAACTAAATTTAATATTGAAATTGGCAATTACAGCTAAGAAAAAAAGTGAAATATTTTCCCTTGCCACGATGACTTGAAGATGTGATTTTGCTGTTTTTGTACAACACCACTGCCACAAATACAGCTTAAAGAGTATGAGGTTTGTCATTCTGAATGATCACCATTTAATTTACAACTGATACCATTAGCACAGGGTGTTTTGACACAACTTAAAAATTTAAGTGCCCATAGAGAAAGCCACAAATACTGAGGGAACTGCAGGGTAGTCACAGAACTCATTGACATGGTTGGCAAAGTTAGGTTATGAGACAGACAGCCCATACTGTCCTTGCTTATCCTAGCCTTAGTAGCAGGAAGCAACTGAATGTCTTGCTTCTTCCTCCCTGGATAGGATAATGTTACATCCTAAGGTTACTAATCACCATTTTTTCAGGTTTTAATTATACTCCTGAGGGGAGAGAGACACAATTAGAGGACAGTACCTTGTTCAAGAACACAATATTGTTACCTCAGACCAGAAATTGAACACCGGCTTTTCAACACAAAATTCAGTGCACTAATCACAAAGTAAGTACACTGTAGGTGGATCAATGTCAGCGCCGAAGCAACTATGCACCTACCCCCCTTAACCAAAATTAAACCCTAATTTGTTATCAGTTGATTGTTGTTGGATCAGGGGAGGGGTAAGTGCACAGCTACTCAGATGCTGACAATGATCACTATACATCTCTGTGACTTCTTGATCAATAGAGAACTTTCATCAACAACCCATAGTATGACTCACTTACCAAAGGGTGAAGAGCTGTGAGCACCACTGTCTTCATCAATTATCAATTTGGCCCAGCTGGTGAAAATACAACCATGACAATTTGCGATGCGGCATGTATAATATCCTCCATCACTTTCACTGACACTCTTGAGCTCTAGCTTATTTCCTGTTTCCCCTTGAAGAAGTTCTCTTTTTTTAAACCATTGAAATTGAAGTGGTTTGTGTCCTAATGCTTCACAGTGTATGTAAACATTCTGTCCTGGAATTCCTCGTATTTCTTTTTTAACATCTTGAGTTATAGTTGGAGAAAATGCTAAATGATTGATGTAAAATCAAAAGAAAATTATCCACTAGAGAACCCAAGTTATTTGTTTGCAGTTATAATTATGGATACCAATTGTTGGTGATTTTTTTTGTTGTTGCACTCTCTACTTGTGCATGCACATCCATGCTTACCCAACTGCACCTTGGTTAACTCAAATAGGAGACTGCCACAATGTCACCTAGGAGATGGGGGATATGAGCTCCACAATAAGTTGCTTTGTTAGCTCAACTGGGAGACTGCCACAATGTGATGTGAGAGGTGTAGGATATGAGTCTCACTGGATTACCATTATAATAAGTCTTTCAGCTTAAGGGGAATGAAAGTAAATAAGTATTCTCCTCTATTCAGATGTCTCTAGCAACTTTGTTAAAGCTGTTACAAATAGTTATCATACAACAGACACAACAATGCAATTTAAGAGACAAAAATATCCATAATTGTGAAAGCCAGTCTAGATATCACGATTACTTTGGCCACAAGCAGATATCAGGTAACGAAGAGATTAAAAGAGCATTTTTTAGGTATTAAAGGTAACATTAACAATATTTCATTCTGCTTGAAATTAGCATGTTACTTTATGAAAAACTTGCAAACTTACTTAGTAAACTAATTACTTTCTGTAAGCCTGGTGACCCTTCACTCATGGAACTGATCCAGCTTTTGAAGACTTTCACAGTTATTTGTGACTGTCCCAAGTCTTGCAATAGTTTAAGAGTTGGGCTTCCTCCTGGTGACAAAGTTGCCATTCCAATTGCATAAACTTGACATGGATCCTTATATGATGGTATCTTGTGTCTTATAACCTCATGGACAAGTGATTTCCAGTTGGGCTGTTCAGATGCGTCCAGTATTGCTGCTATCTGCTTTTTTATATCATCAGGCAAGTCTGTGATACACCTTGAATCCATTGCAAGGCAGTGTTGTTGGTTAATCTATCTATGCTTTGTAGGCTTAATGATCTGTCAGATTGAAAGGACAAATGTAAATTTTTATGCTCTTACTCGTTGGCCATGGCAGGGTGGAGGAGGGGTCCCACCAAAGAAAAGGAAAGAATAACCTCCCCGCTTCTGCACCAACCCAAAAGTATGCTGTGATTTTGGCATATCAAAGGCATAGCTTTACCCTTTCTCTACATCAATCTCATTAGTATGCATCGATCAATATGAAGCTTCAACATCCCCCTACTGGATAACCCTCGGGCATTTAAACTTTCAAAGATTGGTTTGTTCAAATTCCCACACCCTTCCACAAGAGAAAATTGTGTTCAAAGCTCCACTGAAGTACCACATTTGACTGTCAAATTATTTTTTGTGAAAGGCACGATAAGTAACAGTGACTTTCTTGTAAACCTTCCTTTCAAAGCCATTTGCTTGCCAAGCACCTCCATATTGAAGGATCAAATTCCCCCCCCCCTTCCACCTCCACTGCAGGCATGGACAACAGTCCAATGCCAGTGGGTTGCAGGTGGGAGGGGAGAGGGGGGATGTTGATAAGCTTTACACAAATTGATTGGTGCATAATACTCTCACTATTTGCCACACAATACCTATGATACCTATGATGCAAGTTTTGAGAATTTAGTATGGATCAATTTTTATTACCTTCAGCTGTCTGCTTGATATTGTATTGATATTCTGAGACAAAATTCTGTCTTGGGTACTCATGGGAGTTTAAGGATTAAGAGAGCTCTTAAGGTACATTTAAGCTCTCTTGAGTGATGAGTGATTACATAATTCTTCAAAAACTGTTTGGGCAGTCCAATACAAAGTGGGAGAGAACATTAAGAATGTCAATTTCTGCCACAGTTTCCATCACAATTTCTAAATATCAATTCTCCTCACTGCCTGCCATACATCTGCTAGTGTTTCAGCTCTGAGAATTTTGTTTTAATTCATACAATGTTAATTTCTCATTATATTGCTGGTAGTTCCTATGTGATACTAATGACTTTGCTCACAGTCTTATTTAAACAATTCTGTCACAGTTTGCTAGATATGGCTACCTTGGATCAACATACTACAATTTCTCAACTCTTTTTTGCCCAAAAGTGATCAACTTATAACTTCTCCTTGCAGTTCCAATATATTATCTCACAAACAGGTTATGAGAAGACACAACCTTATCAACTAGCAGATGTAATGCTGTTTTAAAATTAAATTCCCCTGTCTAATTTACAAAGAAGTGTATGGCAGTATGTAAGGAAAAATGCTAATTGGATCATGGGACTTAAAGGGTTAAACAGGGTCAGGATCAGTAATGCCTTGGAAGTGAACCGCATTTATAACTTCCCTTTGAAACCCTTTCCCAGGCATCTCATCGATAGGGTAAATTTTCAAATTCTCCTTCCCTCCTCCCCTAGGTGACTTTGTAATCACAACAATAAGGGACCTTCTGAGTGAGCTTATTCTAAAACGCTGTCTTACACCTAGTAATTATCTCTAACAATTGTTCCCAAAATATCCGCAAAAATCATTCATTCATAAAATACCGAGTCACGATCCTCTAGAGTGATCATCTTATTGTCTGAAACTCGGCATCAAAATACCCTAAGCTACTTTTATACGTCTACTATGTCAATACACAATACGGTTTATTACACAACACATAGTCTGACAATCACATCTGAGGCTGTAAACAACTTAACTTTCCACTTGAAAATTTTCTCACCTTCTAACAGGAAAATTGCTTCTTAAGGTATTTAGAAATCATAAACGTGACTTAACCAACAATCTCGCGTCCAACTCTTGTTTCATAGATGATAGCATTTGCATGAATCAATCGATTTAGGGAAAATTTTAACGACAAAACGGATCATACGCTGACAAAAACTCACCAGATCTTGAAGCTGAAATTTCTGAAGAACCTCACTGAGTCCACTATTTAAAGACGCACTTTCTTCCGGATTCGTTGTATTACTATCACAAGTTTAAGCTTACTTGGAACCAAAACGAAATATTCGTTATGTGCTGGCTGTACGCCGTCGTTTAACGGTCGATTCACTATGTGCTTCAATATCTTGCAAATAACCTCAGAGGGAAAAAAACCTGGCAATATTTCAAGCAATACCTTGAAGGTTGTTTCGATAAAGATGAAGATAATTTTAGAACCATTACACTTGACTAAATCAGATTTCCCGGACAAAAGTAATCATTTCCTGTTCTCGATTGTTCTTCCCAATCTCTTTCGGTCTACATGAGCCCGCTGTACTTTTCCCTATATTTTTTCCTCCGCGAGGGGAGGGTAGGGGAAGACATTGCTTCTTCCCGCCTTTTTTGATTAAAAGAAACAAAGCCAAATTTCTCAAAATTTCACTTTTCTTTAATAAAAACTTAGGTATCTGCTTTGTCCTTTAGGCTAATATAGGTGGACGAAATGAGGCACAACTTTTTTTTTGATGTCGTTGCTGTTTTAGGCCTAGACTTCATATTCCCAAATACCCCCAGTGGACTTTTTCGACTTCCGGCTTTTCCGGGAAGGCTCGAAAGAGAAACAAAATCAAAGGGGTCTTTACCATTACTTCATACTCCTCCTCGCGGAATAATAACGTCGTTTTACCGTTTAAAAAGACAATCAAGTCTTTAGGCTTCCATTTAGAGCGATCTAACTCGCCTTCCATATGAACGTGGGTGATTGATTCCAAGTGACGTTTTATTCAGCAAACTGAGGAAGAAGGCACTTACGTCTTCCTGTGTACAAATTTCCCGCTTTACTCGCCGTCATTACGACCCATCAACTTTCAAAACAACGTTATAGCTTGGAGTTTCTTTAAGGTGAGCTGCAAGTCGATAGAGAATCGAAATCTGTCACGAAATGAGGATGCATATGTATTGTTTTAAAAGTCTTCTTTCCTTCTTTCCTACAGCTTAGTGCTCGGCTTCGTCCGAAACACGCAACTCATAGTTCGTCTGTTAAGTGTTACATCGCCATCGTAATGCAGTTCACTTCTTTGGAGTGTTTTTGAGTTAATACTGGATAGAGAGTGTAATGCATGGGTCAAGCCTTAAAATAAAATCTTAGAACACTTCTCAAACACGATAAGACATCTTTCATGAAGAACATGCTATCGTAAATATAGAGCGCGATCTTGAGGTGACTGCGTTCTTTTGGTTGAATTGAATTCTAAACTGATTTTCTAAAGGGTTCATGTTCCACCTAAGAAAAAACCTGGAAAACTTATGACCATAGATTCTGTTTAAAATGACAAAGAATACGGTATGCGTGGACAAAAACATTGAAAAGTGTATTACATGCAAATTCCTAACAGACAAACTCAGTGTGTCATGACCTTTTATTAGAAATTTGACTCACACATGAAATTCCTGTTTTGTTAGCTAAAGAAAAGGAAAGATCTGTTGTTATTACTTGATGATATCTACGTGTAAATTTAATTTGATGATGTCATTTTAACAGTGTGAAGAAAGCATCAATTAGGCTCTCTATATCTCTTGTAATCTACTTGCAGTGAATGTGTTAGAATCTCCACGACTATTTACCAAGAGCTATCAGTTTACTCAGTATGCACATGATTGTATCTTTTTCTCTTTGATATACAGCGAACACTTGAGATAGTGAGGTTTAGGGTTATGTTTAATTACTGAATTATTTTAATTAATTATTATTATATTTTATGCCATGCTTAAGGCTGCTCAATTATTCACAAGTAGGAATCAGGAAAATCAAAACTCTAGATCTGGCAATTGTTTATTACTAATCTCATAGGTAATTGATTTTGACTGACAATGGCGACCACCAACATGCAAATAAGACATTTGCCGTATGGCACTCTTCACAAACTGGCCCAACTGCTTGACATACCTGGACAAAGAAACTGGAAAGCACTTATCAGTGCTATGCCAAGTAATTTATATAAACCTGAAGAGGTAAGCAGGGTTTATCTTAGAAATCTAAGGGGAGTCCTTTGTCAAGAAAGGAGCCTAAGACAGGGGGTACTCAAAAAAGGTATTTGTACTTATTTGTATAGTTAAATCAATGGGAAAAAAGAGAAAGGCAATTTTAAAAGTACAGATTCAGATACAGAGACGGCATACACCCCCCATGTTGGAGTTTGTAGATTCATCATCAAAGTTGAGTGAAGACAAGATAGGTAGAGCAATTGAAAAGTGCCAGTAGGGATGGGTGGTGACAATTAAGATGCCTCTGTAAGTGACTGTAAAATTGATGCACAGATAGAAAATATACCATTACATTAAAAGAGAATATTTCTCTGTTGCATCCGTTGTTTGAACAATTAACACCCCTAAATGAGCAATGCCCTGGCACAAGAATTAATTTTGCACTCTGGCGCTTTTTGAGTAAATCTCTTTCTTTGAGTATGCCTCTTTTAAAATGTCAACTTTGTCTCTTGGTAGGTGTCAGCATTTGAGATGGAAGGAATGAGATTTAGTGGCAGCCCATCAATGAGTTTGCTGACTGACTTGGGACGGAAATGCAAAACTGTCAAAACACTTATAGTCTGGTTGAAAAAAATTGAAAATGCCCAAGCCCTGGACATCTTGGAATATGAAGGTAATAAAAATTCAAACATGAATGAATGAGTAACAAAATAAACAAATGAACAATTCTGCAAATGAAGGGAATTTTGGAACAAACAAATGAATAAATGAAGAATGAAAGAATGATTGAGTTAAAAATAAATGAATGAGCAAATCTTTAACCTCTGACTGATACAAATTAAATGCAAGGAGATTTATGACAGTTTGTTTGTTGATCCAGCTTTCAAAAGACTAATAAACTGAATAAGTGAAAATAAAATCTGCAAAAGGCTACTTAAAGCAGAAAGTACTCAACAAACTGAAAATTTTTTCCCAATGCAGAAGAGGTGAGGATCCTTGAACATCCGTCATCAAAGCCAGTTCGCACTGGTGCAAGTGTGACATTCAGATGCAAAGCTACAGGTTACCCAGCCCCAGAGTATTTATGGGTGAAGGACAGTGTTGAGGTTCCTGATGGAATAAATGAAGAACTAACATTAGATTGTGCTAGACTGGAAGATAGTGGAAATTATGTGTGCATTGTGTCCAATCGATTGAACGTGCAGAGAAGTCATGAAGTAGAGTTACAAGTTCTTCCATCACCTGGTATGCCTTTGATGATTGTTATGAGCCCTAATAACAACTACGAACTTCTCCCTAGCTTTTAGTAAGAAATCCTTCCACTCCTCATGAGAGTAAGGAACCAGATCTTGTTTGATAGACATATGGGAAGTATATATGCTAGCCTGTTTTTAATAATTATGCTGAATGGTAACTTCATCCTGTTAACATTTAGTGAGGACGCATGATTATAAAGGCCAAAATTAAAATGCTACATGTGCTGCCTCTATAAAGCACATATTTTGCCTCATTTAGAATATTGTTGTCTACTATTACTTGGAGTTGGAAGAGGTCAAGTTAAAAAAACTAGAAGACACCAATAATTATATTCTTAGATCTCTTTTAGGGTATGGACATACACCATACAATTATTTATTAAATATGGCTGGTATAAGAACGCTGAAAGAAAGAAGAAAATTCCAGGCCCTTGTTTTGGTTTATAAATGTATTCATAAAGAAGCCCCAAGGTATATAGAAGAATTTTTTCAGATTAAAATCTGCAATTATAATTTAAGAGAGTCAGGGACACTTTTAACATTACCCAGTTTCAATCTAGAATGGTGCCATTAGTCATTCTCATTTTTGGCAGCAAAACTTTGGAATTTGTTACCTACATATGTTAGAAACGCCAAGGATATTTCTACTTTTAAATGTCTTTAAAAGAAGCAAGTTTTTGGATAGATTAAGGATGGTAACTTTAAATTATTTCTTTTCTTTTTAACCTTTTTTTCCATTTCATGCACATGTTTTAATGAGTTTTTATCACTCCTAGATGTAGTGTGGGTAAATAAAGTATTGTTGTATTTTACAGAAAAGCAAGTGTGATTTGCCTCCTGACATATACACAAGCCTTTGAATTTTTTCTTCTGTTTCAGGAAAACCTTATGATTTCCTGAAACCTTGTGCATAAGAAGAGACATCTGATTTTTTCCCTTTAATTTATTAATGTGATACATGGATTTTTCCAAAATTCATGCCTGAAACAGGCTCAGGACCCTTCTTTTGCTACCCTCCTTAACGTTACATTTACCGCGGATAGAAGATTCAATTACATTATTGTACAATGCTAATATCCTGCTCTTATTTTTTAACCTTCTGCAGTGAATGGTTATACTGGACAAGAACAAACTCCAGAAGGTGTGTCTCAAATCTTTAACAATGTTTTACTTGAGGACGTGACATCATTCGAATTTGGGAAGGGATAAAAATCAATAACTCAAAACTTAATAATTAATAATAATGATTCACTAATATTAGCACCTTTTAACACTGAAATGATCAAAAGCACAAAATTAAAATGCAATGTGTGTATTTTACAGAAAAGCAAGTGTGATTTGCATCCTGAAATATACACAAGCCTTGAATTTTTTCATGTATTTCAGGAAAACCTTAAGATTTCCTGAAACCTTGTGCATGAGAAGAGACATTACCTTCTCCTTTATTCTATTTACAAACATGATGCTATCAACATTGCTAATCCTAGCAGTATGAGGGATGTGCATCATATGAGCTTCATAATAGACCTCACTCACTGTAGAGTCTCTGTGGCTCAGTGGTAGAGCATTGGAGTGCAAAATCCAAAGGTCTGAGGTTTGATTCCTCAGAGGGACTCAGAGTTTTTTCTTTGTCCTATGCTCATGACAAGATAAAAAACATCTTTCTCTATTTCTTTACTGAGCTCAAAACTTACCATCTCTCTTATTTTATTTACAAACAATATGTTACAATATGCACCTGAAGAAAAAGGTAGTCACTTTGGAGGTCAGCTGAGACTGTATTATTTCCAGATGTTATCAATAAAGGGCAAAATTACTGAGCGCTGATTGGTTGAGAGAGAGGGCATTTTTTCTTAATCGAGGGCATTTTTAGTAATCAAGAGAGGGCATGATTACCTGTTAATGATTGGCTAATCCGTTGCATAGCAACCGTTCGTTATCTTGAAATTTGTTAAAAATAGACTGCGCGTGTGATTTTCCTTCGTATAAAGTTTGCCCTCTATTGATAAACAAGTAATCCCATGAGACCTCGTACTATTAAGGATTAATTGCACTTGAGTTTTCAAAATTTTGGAAAATTTTGAAAACTCTCGTGCAATTAATCCTTAATAGTACTTGGCCTCATGTGATTACCTATACTAATTGATTATCGCAAACAAAAGCAGCACAAAGTGGCTTAAAACACATGTATGTGATGATTCAATCTAGTGCCTTAGGCACTTACTCACATATGATACCTCTAGGGATGGCACTTAATCATTAGGTACAAGGGGCCCCTCTTTTGTCTTATTTCTATCAACAGCACAATATGCAAAACAAAACTCTCATATAAATTCAAAACTTAACAACCATTATTGTAATAGAAAAAAAAATAAAAGTAACAAATATCCTGTGAATATTTGCATGATAATGGTTGGGAATGTTTTGAAGCAGTACTACCACTAAAACAGAATAGGTGTGCCATTGGAATGAAGATGGTTATGTAACAGAAGCACCTATTGACAAAAACAAGTTTTGGAGGGGGTGCTTATTAGAGAGGTGGCACTTATTGGAACAAGATTACCAAATCGAATGATGATGTTAGGGTGTAGAGGGTTAAGTGTTTTGGATGAGATGCATATTACCATAGACTACATTTAAGCTTCCTGCTTTCCCAAACTTAAATACCAAGGTCAACATTAATTCAGGTCCATTTTTCTCCAGCCAAACATCCTCCTGAAATCACACGTCAACCACAATCCTGCATCTTACCTGATGGTGTGGAATTCAGGCTGGTCGTTGAGGTGAAGGAAGGACCAGTGAAATACCAGTGGTTTAAAGATGGCTTTATACTTGTGGGGCAGACAAGAACAGAATTACTTTTTCAGCCATTTTATTATCGACATGAAGGCAGCTATTGCTGTAGGGTGGAAAACAGTGCTGGTGATGCCCTCAGTAACACAGCATTGTTACAAGCAGGTAGGTCATACTTACTCGATCCCATATTTTCATTGATATTTAGTCTCCAAATATGATTTTCCTCATGTCTGTTCTCATAAGGTATGGAAAATTTCACCTTAGACTGAAAGTCTTTTACACATTCACTTCCAGGGTAGAGTAAGGGGCTTTTTGATTAAAAAAAAAAACAAAAAACTCTCATCTGGTTGGTTACAAAGTATTATTTTGACTTATGTGTCTCGTCTTGATCAACAGTTGCTTATCTCTTCAATCTTTAATGAGTACAAAAAAAAATTGACAAGTAATCAATTTACTGGTTAAAAATTTGGGAGTAAACAGTCTTTTTTGTTGTTGTAAGGTTTTCTTAATAGAACCTCCAAAAGCTTTTATCTTGTATAATACTATTTTTAACAAGTGCATAGATTGATAAGTTAATGATTTTGTTGAATGAATTAACTTTTTTTTACTTGTATTTGTTTCTAATAAATTACAGGAAGGCCTGACGATCTTCACCTAGCTCAAAGTGGTATGATTACAAGTGTATTTTATTTTATGTTATAAAGGTTTACTCCATTTTTTTAACAAAAAATCCAGTGGGGACCTCCCAGGATAACTTACCTAGTACAGAGAAAACTGATAATACTTTTTACTACTCCCATTTAACGGCAATACATGTCCTGCGTATGATATTACTCAACAGAATTTGGCATTGATTATATCAATATTTTCTAAACACCCATTTGTGATAACTCTTTGTTTTAATTTCTTTTGGAAGTTTAAGCTGCACTGTTGTTTGTTGTTGTTTGTAACAAGCCTGTCATTTGTAACTCAAGTGATTAACCCAATGGCCAACCAACAATTCAGCAAATAAAAACGGTGTCATTTTATTAACTATGGACAACACCCCTCACCTCTTGTCTAAGTTAGACCTGACAGGCACAAAAAAATATGCACAAAAGACAGATTCTGATTGGTTTATAATTAATTATTGCTCCTTGAACAACAGAGGAAGTTTTGGAACAAAACTACATTTAATAGGAGTGGTAAGGAAGGAAAGTGTCTCTCATGTGAGAGAGCTGCACTGGCTGTTTAAGGTGGTTCAGGTGTTAATGTCACTTATACTACACACCACCCAGGCAGTTCACATAAGATTTATGTGAAGAAGTACATGTAGTATTGTGCTATTAAGTTTCTCATTTTTGAATGTGTTTCATATGATTAACTAAAAATATTTTTGGCTATTTATAATGTCACAGTGATTCCCAGATCTGCTGAGCTCACACAGAAAGGTGAGTAAACTATTAACATGTAGTTGGTATGTAGTTGTACTAATTTTTTTGATGATTGTATCGATGTGCTATTGTTATATTGTAATAGGCTATAACCTTCCTTTTCTTTTCTTTGCAAGTGCTCAAAAGCAATGATTTTTTGATGTTAATATCATGTTAAATTTTCAGTAAATAAACAGTAACAAGTACAATTATTTAGAAACTTTAGCTTTCTTTCGCAGAGGAAGAGAGCAAGCCAGAGTCACCATATCATAAATTGGTGGAGTTATAGATTGGGACACTACTTTCAGAAAAATACTGGACGTGTATTCACTGCAGTTGTTTTTCTTGATTTCCTTCAGCTGCCGACAAAATAGCCTTGGTCATTGGAAACCGTGACTATGTGCGCTTACCTCTCAATGAAAGCCCACTGGTTCATACTTGCAATGATGCAAAGATGCTTGCCTCAATTTTACGCACTCGTGAAATGGGTTTCAAGGTCATCTCCCTCATGAACCTGACACTAGATGAGATGAATCAAGCACTCAATATTTTTTACAGTCTTCTTGGAAGCGGGGTGTATGGATTGGTTTATTTCGCTGGTCATGGGTTTGAAGAAGGAGGGCAAAACTACCTGGTCCCTGTTGATTCAGTGGGGGATTGGGTACCAGAGGAAGCTGTTTGTGCCCAAAGAATTTTAGATGAAATGAACAGATACCACACAGAGTTGATAGTGTTTCTTTTGGACATCTGCCGCAAGAGGTGAGTTGCTCATAGTGGTTTTGCAGCCTGCCAGTGCCCATGCAAGATACATATTTTTCAATTACTTAGTACAGAGACTTCTAGATGGGTGTAATGCATTTCCACTATATTTTTTCATATATCAAAACACTTGGTCAGTCAACAGTCACTGCTGTTGGGGGATGGTTAGGAACTTAGGAAGACAAAAACTTCCTCGATGGTAAGAAGCTCACCATGGCAACTAAGCTACAGCACTTCTCCAGACACTTCTCAAGGCAACACTGATAATTAAAACCAGTGTGTGGAATTAATAACTTGTTAGCAATGTCAAAAGTGTGGAAGGAAGAGAACAAAGCAATTAAAAAAGAAAAGTAATTGGAGGGAAAGCATTTATAAATGCATTTAAAAACATCATTTTCTATAGCAGTCATGAGGTTTGTTTTAAGAACAATGGAGAGGTTGACAGTAGCAGAATTTCCATCTTGATCCTCCTTGCTTGATATCAGTGGCATGAACAAGCCCATCTTGAGCTAATGATATTATCTTGAAGGTATGATCAATTTTTTTTCTTCAGGGCAAATGCTGAGAAAAATTTTGTCATGAAGAGTTATGAATTTCCATACAATGCCCAAGCAGTAATGGGGTTTGCTACGTAAGTAAAACCAATCTACTATAGAATACAGAAATCTCTTAACTGACATTACTAATTATTACGCTATCTGCCTGATGTGAGGTGGTAAATATATGGTGAAACTGTGCCTGAGGTTTTAAAGCCAGCCATAGCAGAAAATATTGTAATTACATTTTATTAATCCAGGCCATCAATTTCCATCCATATTGAGGCATTTTTTCAATTAATTGTTGTAAAACCAAAACCGAAGTAATAACAACAACCAATCAGAGGAAAGGAAAATACCCATAAGAGCCAATAAGAACTCAACATAAAATCAACCAAACTACCTTAAGGGGCAAGGGACCAATCACAGAGCAAAGTAAAGGAAAACCAATGCAATCTTGAAATACCTTTAACACTCAATTGAAAATTGCTCTATTTTGCTCTCTGTAATTTTCATTATTTACATGACCTTAAGCTATCTTAGACATGGATATCCAGGTGCTTGTACTGTTATATAAATGGTGTCCCTTACTGATCAACAGATGTCCTCAATCTGAGGCTTATGAGAGAAGACAAGACCCCAATGGCATGTACATGAAACACCTGCTAAAGTATGTCATGAATGACGCCAAAGTCGAGGATGTCTTACATCAAGTGGCAGGAGGTATGAGCTGAAAACTGCATAAGATGGTTTGTAATCAAGAATGATAAAACATGTGTTCAGTGACATTGGATATCTGAAGTCAGTAGAAACCAATAAATGACAGGCACGGCTTCTAAACTTTGACAGATACTTTGTTAGGTTCCTCAGCTACTTCAGTGCTGAATTCAAAATGTGGCCAAGAAGACAAATGGAACATACAGCAACTGTACAACTTGATTTCTCTCTAAACTTGACTGAAATTTTTCAGATGTCAGTGCAGAGGTAGAGACAAATGAGTTGGTTGAGAGACAGCGTCCACAGTTTCACTCTACCACCACCAGACAATACAGCTTGCGTGACCCAATTCAAAGAGACAAATTATACTCTGAAAGAGAAAAGTCCTGGCTTGAAATACACCGTAAGTTTAATCATTGATGAAAGTGAAATGTTAGCAGGCCAGAGCACTCCTGACCTGGAGGAGCTGTTGCATAGCTGTTGAAGATTTACTTAAGTTTAAATACTCTTTTGTCAGATTTACAAACATATGATTTGTGTTCTAGGTACATCTCTATAGTCCTGAAACAAACAACACCAAATAAACTACCATAAACACCAGCATGTAAACCATTCCTTTTTCCATTTCTTTTTTATGAAAATTCATAAGTCTTTCTTTGTAAACTAACTAGAACTTCACAAAAAGAATCAAAGATAAAAATTTTTCATTAATTTTGCAAGTCTAAGGGTTCCTAAAAGCTGCAAGCTTTATTTATAAGTATAAGCTTATATTTCTTGCTGTTGAGTGGTGTTAAACTCAGTCTTCATTAAGAGCTTAGACCTTTAACCAGTTTAAGGTTGCCTTAGCTTCTTTAAGCAGCTAATTTAAAAAAAACTATCATTTTAAACTGCAGTCATTTTAAACTATAACAAATGTGTTTGGATAATGACCAATTTTGGCTGGAAATGAAAGGCAATATGAAACTAAAGTTTTCATAATTTGTAAATCTTGTTCAGTTCTGTGCGATTGCCATAAATGGTTTGACACCCTGTAGGTAGAGTGTGTTTAGTCATCGTGGTGCCTTTATTGTGTCATGCAGGATATTAAGACCTATATTCTCTCTTTGAAATTTTTACAGATCTCCCTCAGAAGCGAGAGATAGAATGTGAAGCTGGGATTAAGATAGAAATTCGCTTTGAACACCAGAACTGGCTGTCAAATGCAATCGTTTTGTGCCTAAGAGTTATTGACCTAGGAGAGGCAAAATTCTGTGATGTAGGCTTGATGTTGGAATGTCTTCCACAGGTAAAGTGGTATATTTCAATTTTCTCTCTGTTGTCAGTGTACACAATTATTGCTCAAATGTATTGAGAGTGAAATGATTTTTAAATTATCATTTATCATTTACTGAAGCCTAGGGACAACTGAGATTCTCTTAATTCTGTCACATTCATAGTATGGAAGCATAAAATTGTGCCCCCTTCTATATATAACAAACCAGTTACTCAAAATCCTTTTGACAATCCTGTTTAAGACAAACATTTTTTTTATCAACTCCTACTCGAGTCCATTCTGCCCTATAATTTTTAGGCATTTCAGGTACATGTTGTTAGTATCTTTCAGTAATGCCATCCTTACCGTGAATATTGAACTCCAATTGAATGTTCTGTATTTTAACCATTAACAATTAACATTGTCAGACAAAATTTTATTTTCACTTTGCATAACTTTGCTCCTCAAATTTTTTGCAACAGTTTTCGTATGCATGCTTGACTCTATTGCATTATTTTGTGATGTAATGAATAAATGAATTGAAAGGGTTTGTACCCTTTCCAGGACTCCAAATTTCTCCATAATTTCATCATTTAATTTCATCCATCATCCAAATTTCATCTTTCATTCTCAAGATTTCAATATCAAGTCTCCTCATGGTCTACATACATTTCTTATAAAGTGAATTCTGAAAACTTTTTTTGCTTAAGTTAAGCATATTTCCAGGACTTGTGGTCTTTTGCTAGGATCTTCCAGAACTGGAAAATGTTATAATAAAATTCCAAGACTTTCCAAGGCCTGTTCAAACCCTGATTGACCCTCACTAATCAATTGAAGTTAAAAAAAAATTCACAGAATGAAAGCTTTTAATTAAATTAGGGCTTCAATTTTGTTTAGAAACATGCCCCTTAGATACCACTAGGGAACTACTCCAAATTAGGTGAAAATTAGAACCCTATGTTGTGATTAGAGCAATAATCAATTTTGTAATACCATAATGACATCCTGGTTTCCATATTAATTTAATTCACAAATTATTTGTGAACAATGATTTTCAGGATTGCCAGAGTCTTTACTTCCATCCAACTTCAACCAACAGAATGAGGCAGGTTGTTCAGGTAGGAGATCAGGATAAATTCAAGTGGCCTTAATCAACATACTGGTGGATATATAGGTCAACATAGTTGATTAATATGCTAGTCAGCAGTTGTTTGATAGTTGACCAGCATTCAACTGATGGTTGGCTGATGGTCATGATCAGCTACCAGTTGACCAATAGTCAACAGATGTCCCTGCCAAGACATTTATCTGCTGACTATCATCTCATTAAGAAATCAGCAGACTTCTGTATTGTGTGGGATGACCTAAGGCCAACCATCATTCAACTATTTGCAGACCATCGTGACACTCTATTGGCTGATTATCAGCTGATGTTATAGATTAACTATTGTCCCACCATTTGAGTGGCTTGTGAAACACTTGCTGACTAACCTTACCTAAAATACGTCTGACATGTAGTCCTTGAGGTTCTCTTATTTTAAGTAATGGTTATGAACCAATTAAATTTGAGATATACTTTAAACCCTTTCAACCCTTTAACACTAAGGTATCAAGAAAAGCAGGCTACAACCCCTCACAGCCTTCTCTGACAGATACCTCACATCCTTCTCTGACAGACACCTCACAGCCCTCTCTTACAGACCCCTCACAGGCCTCTCTTAATTAAAGACCCCTTACATTCGTCTCTTACAGACCCTCACAGCCTTCTCTGAAAGACCCCCCACAGCCATCTCTTGCAAACCCTCACAGCCCTCTCATGCAGACCCCTCACAGCCTTCTCTGGAGACCCCCCACAACCATCTCGTACAGACCCTTCACAGCCCTCTCTTGCAGAACCCTCACAGTCGTCTCTTGCAGACCCCTTACAGCTGTCTCTTGCTGACCTCTTACAACCCTCTGTTGCAGACCCCTTACAGCCATCTCTTACAGACCCCTCACAGCCTTCTCTTACAAACACCTTACAGCCATCTCTTGCAGATCCCTTACAGCCCTCTCTTGCACACCCCTCACAGCCCTCTCTTACAGACCTCTTACAGCCCTCTCTTTCAGACCCCTCACAGCCTTCTATTACAAATCCCTCACAGCTGTCTCTCACATACCCCTTACAGCTATCTCTTGCAGACTCTCTTACAGCCCTCTCTTGCAGACCTCTTACACCCCTCTCTTGCAAACCCCTCACAGCCATCTCTTACAAACCCATCACAGCCATCT